TTCCTTTCTACAGCCCACCTTCTCAGGCAGGTCCTCTCCATCAAGTAGAAACCCTCTTTGCCTCCAAAGACCATGGTTTGGACTTGGATGTTGAGAGAGAAAATCATTCGCAACTTCACTAGTATATCTTAATGAATTAATTAATAATAGTAACAATAACAATAATAATAATAATAATGGAAACTTTACTAGTGTTTTTTAATGTACAATTATTGTAAATCTCGCTGTGTGTAGGCAATTTACAAATGCTGCTTGAGTTTGAATTATTCAAAAAAAAAAAAAAAAAAAGAAAAGAAAAAAAAGTCTGGGCTACCCAATTCCTATTTCTACAACAAAAGATGTAATACGTTGCTCTAACGGCTATATTTATCATTTTCTTGATTATATAAAGTGGCTGCTTTTTGTCAATGCCAATGTCATTCATCATGTCTAAGAACACTAGATTAGTCTCGTCTACATGCATGTAGCTCTGGATGCTGCATTTCTGCAGTGATCCCAGAGTAGTTTATTTAAAAATGGTCTTTTTTTCTGTTCTCATGTGGAATGGACCAGTCATGAAACTTATATTCAATTTGATTTCAAATTATATGCTGCAAATACTTAAGTTATGCTAATAAATACGGTACCACTACCTGCTGAGAAAACATATCACAAATATTCAATAAATTATATAAGCTTGACACATCATATGGTATTGTTAGGTGTATTTCCAGCTTAAAATTTAGCCACTAAACCGTCTTGCCAAAACTACCATTCCCTGTGCTTAAATATTATGGTACAGTACATTCTTCAGTGAAGCAATGAGTTGTCAAGGATTGTCACATAACTTAGTTAAAAAACACGTTTATATAACTTACACAACAACCAAACAAGTCACAGAATTTACATAAAGATAGATCGTGTATACTCAGAAAGCCAAATTTGGCGGAAACATCGATTTAGAACATACTTTCCACAAGCTATCTATTTAAATGCATAACCTCGATATTCTGCCTGAGTTTTTCAGGTCACGAATACGTAGCTAAAGCACTGAATTTATTTTAAACAAAGTTGAACTGAAATTCATGCATGGCCGATTTCATACCTCCTTGGCGAGAAGCGCTGCTAATTCCTGCTCCTTTTCCTTTAGTCTCATCTTAACATCGCTGACCTGAGAATCTTTTGTTTTAAGATTCACGTCAACCCTGTCCTTCTCGCCTTGCAATTGAGTAAGTTGCGTTACTAATGCTGAACTCTTTTTGTCCGAAGTAAGTTTACGAGCCGCCAGCACGCGCAAGCGATCTTGTAGAACGCTAACATCTCTAAGAAGCTTATTGTTCTTGGAAGAAACACCCCAATAGCTGTAAAAAAGTATGATAACAACGACTACAAGACCCACGAGGATAAAGGAAGGACCTCGACCGGCTCGGAACATCAGCCCATTGGAAGCCATTTTGAATGACTCGGGAGTGACAATGATCCCAGGTATCTTTGCGGGAAACGTCGGTGTCCGACCAAGTGCCGACCAAACACGAAGTGTGTGGCTGGAAGTGCAAACAAGCCAAGGCGGGGCAGTGAAACTACGAGAATAGAGGAGATCGGTGCGGGAGCAACGAGAAACTCGCGGCTTCGCCGCTCAGTAGTGCACCCGACAAAACCGACATGCTACGCAGGCTACAGGGGACACGGAAAATTGTTCACATAATCTTTGTATTTGTTACCGCTATTGAAGGGACACCTCTATTCAGGGGGAAGAGACACTTTTTCTGGGCCCTGACAGACCATAAAAATCGTTGATAAATTTATGTGTTCACTTGTCACAATGGTGACAGTTTTCGAAACATGAATCGATTTACTGCACTTGTGGGAATTCAACACACAACATCGCGAGATAAGTTAATCGTGATTTTTTAGATATTATCTATCTTCTTCAAACAAGAGGGAAATAATGACTGTAGCAGATTCCGAGGCAGAAGAAAAGAAAAAAAAATTTTTGTTGGTTAATTCTTGACAAACAACAGCGCAACCTCATTTCAGGGGAAATCTCTGTTTCTTGCACTGTCATGGGGTGCCGTCCAGTCTCAAGCAAGCTTATCACCATCCGCATGAGAGCAAGCCCATTTAGCGTCAAAATTATACAGGCCTACGCCCCTTCCTCGGACTATCTGAAACCTCTTGTACGCTCGTGAAACCTGGAAATTTACAGCGGACATCCTGAAGAAATTGCAGGCCACTGAGATGAGATGCTCAAGGAAACTGTTTGGCATCGCATACAGAGACCGCTACATCACTAACGATGCAGTCAGAGACAGAATCAGGCCGCAAGCCATAGGGCCCTAGGATGATTTCTTAACCACGGTAAAGAAACGCAAATTTTTAAAGTGGTTTGGCCATGTATCAAGATCAGCAAGGTGTGCCGAGACAATTTTGTAGGGAACAGTGTAAGGAGGAAGAAGAAGAGGCCGAGAAAAGAAACGTCTGGAGAATAACATCTTTGAGTAAACAGGGTTGAAATTTTGCGACACCCTACAAGAGAATCTGAAAACAAAGTCAGATGAAGGGAAAGGGTTTGTAGGTCCGTGGCGCCCCAACGGTCACCATGACTACGGGATAGGTGTAAGGTGCAAGGTGTATTCCTGGCGAAGAGAAAAACTTAAAGCAAGGGGCGCACATAGACCAACCCACGGCCTGACAAGTACCTCACGCATTCGCACAGCCAGCCATATAACCCGGGCAGTGGCAGCCATGGACAGCTGTTGCTCCCTTATTGGCCAGGCCGCGGGTTGGTGTATGTATGCCCCTTGCTTTAAGTTTGTCTTATTCCTGGCAAAACCTTTTTCTCCTCGCCTCTTATATCATTGTTTTATACCAGGTACCGTATCAACCTTTGCCCTTGAAAGATGACACATTTATTTAATCTTTGAAGGCTTTCCAATAGGACCAGGGTCGTTAGGATGTATACATCAGTGAACTTAAGCAGCGATTTGCTCAAATTTGCAGACAGATCGTCTACATAAGAAAAAAACGCTCAGAAATAAAAATTTGGGAGGGTACAGGCTTATTTTAAGGGAAAAGGCCTTACTTCCAGTTGACGTACGTCACTCAAAATTAAGTTCCCTAATTTACCATTTTCACCTCGAATCATGCACCTTGTTTACACCCCCCCCCCCTCAAGAAAATTACCTAACCATATATTGTTTCCAATTTCTCCAGGGCATTACAGTCGTCCCAAGAGAAATCGAAGACAATGACGAAGCCCGAAGAACGTCTGAGGCTAATTTACTTGTCGTAAAAGATCTAATCCTGATCTGGAAGGGGCTATGTCACTCTATTGCTATCTGTTAAAAAGCTAAGACGTGTTGTCGCGCGCATCAATTGAATTACAAAAATAATGGTCCGGATTTGTAAATTTAATACTATATCTAGGCTGTTTCCAATCGTCTCAGTTGTTACGGATGGCAAGGAGAGACGTAGATTGAAATCTTGAAAAAAAGAGGGCCAATTTTTTCAAGTGGTTCACCGCTTGATATTGAAAGTTCGTAGCGGTAAAGCCGAGCCTCTTCCAGCATTGAGATGCAGTGGCAGGTCCAGAAATGGTGCTAAAAGCTACGACCTGCTAGGTTTTCTTGACAAGTAATGCTATACTAGTCCGTTAAAACGCCCCCTTCAAGGGGTTTATTAGGTTAAAAACAGAAGTGCTGAAGGACCGCAAACGAGTATACCGCAGAACTTAGGATCTGTAGAAGACCCCCGGGGGGTACTGCCATCTATGGGCTATATAGGTATGTGCCGCTGTGAAGGGTATGGTTTTCAGGCAGTTTACTCTAGGATAGGGTATATAAATCAGAGCGTTTGGGTCTAGAATAGCGTATCATTTTTCAGGAACTGAAACTGATCAGTTCGTTGAAGATTTTATCTGGACAAGGGAAACAGCTACTCTAGGATAGGGAGATTTGGGGAGTTTACTCTAGTATAGGGTAGAAAAATTCAGCTGAACTGGCATTGAAATCTGCAAAGCTGCTCTTTAGCTATAGTCTCTAAACTGACCATCCTCCTTTCCAACGCATCGCGCCTTTGTTCCACCGTCTGTCTTCTGCTTTGTGCGGACTGTCCGCCGAGACAGAAAAAATGGCCGTTGCAGCCGTTAGTGGAGCTTCGACTGTATACCAAGGAAAACTGGCATTGAAATCTGCAAAGCTGCTCCTACCAAAGTTAATTTTTACGTAGTACGATCAGCTTTGCAGATCGCGGGTTCAAATTTTGATTTCCTTTGTTTTGGGGTATGGTAAAGTAATACACTAATCAGTTTGAAACAAATGGAATTAAACTTAGGGACAACGTGAAACAACGATATGAAAACGTCCAAGGACTAGTTAGAGGCCATAAAATTTTGGTTCAGTAAATATTTTAGACTGAGAATCATTATATCTGTTGTAGGAACCGTAGAAATGTACTGCCCCGCAGTATTTTCCATCCCGTATTTTGTATAGTTTATCTGGTCTAATGACCGAGTTTTGTTCTCGCCAAATGTACCGCTGAATTTAAGCGTATTCGCCCTGTACCTACCTTGGCAGTTATAGTGGTATTATAAAGCTTTTCTCTTTCAGTTCGTAGCTCCTTTTTCAAGTCAGAGGTTACACTCAAAGCTCTGTCGTTGATTGCCTTGTGGTTTATTAAGTCGTCTTCCAAAAAGCGATTTTTAGTCTCTAAACTGACCATCCTCCTTTCCAACGCATCGCGCCTTTGTTCCACCGTCTGTTTTTGGCTTTCTAAACTGACCATCCTCCTTTCCAACGCATCGCGCCTTTGTTCTACCGTCTGTCTTTGGCTTTGTGCTAGTTGCAGTTTGAGCATAAGGTCGATGTTTGCGAAAGACACGCTCCGGTAATAGTAAATTAATATACAGAGAACCGAAACAAGCGCAAGGAACAGGAAAATCAAGGATCGAGACGAACGAGTTAGTGAGCTCTTCATGATTGGTTTTTCTTTAAATTCCATTAAAATGGCTGCTCGAGTTTAACCAGAACCAAAGTTAACGCGGCATTGGTTGCTGGATTTTGAAGTAATTTATGATCAGTCGGGAGGAAAACCCGCATTTGAATAGTCAAATGCCATTGAAGAATTATAATTTCCATGGTTATTCACTTCTGTATCTTTGATGTAAGTTAAATGTTAATTTGATATTGCAGATATTTAAGTTGAACGAGACTCAAATATATTACCTGTTTCGACTTCTTTTAGTTGTTCTGAAAAGGCCCCGGGGGGGGGGGGGGGGGGGGCTACTTCCTTATAACAGGCTAATGGGGATGTGCCGCTGGATGGGGTCGCATTTTCACGACTGGACTGACTTTAATGGGGTCGCATTTTCAGTAGAGGGGCGAGAATTTCACTCCGGTACGAAATATCGCAAAGGTATCATGTAAACGCGAAACGACCACACGTTTCGGTATGAAATCATTCAGCACGTAGACTTCCACGGGTAACGTATGCGTAATGTTTGTGACTTTGAATCACACGTGTATTTTGTCAACATGAAGTGTACCTTCAAATAACGAGATATGAAATGTAATGACCCAGTTATCACGTGAACACGATATGAAATCAAAAAGTCAACCCCGTATGAAACTCGCGCCGGTGCGAGTTTTCTCGTGTAAAATTAGTTAGTTCCAACTGTTAAATAGTTAAACATATTAAATGGAAACAAGATACATGGAATAAGTTAAATAATTCTAGAAGGTCTTTAGCCTGACCGGAAATTCGTCTTCTTTCACAGGCTAGAAGGTATTGCCCCCGACTGAAAAATCCAGGTAAGTCGCCATAAAGTCTCCAAAAATATTAAAAGTAAAGTTTGTTTTATAGTCAAATTTTTCGTCTGACCGCGTTATTCTGTCAAAGGAGTAAATATACAACTTTTTTCCCTGTATTTTAGTTATCTTTATATAACTTACAAAGCTTCGCTAAGAACATACTAACAGTTTTAAGTTACTAAAAAGGTACACCGTGGAAAATACCCCACATAAAATTAATAGTTATGTTAATTCAAAGCACCAGTTGATAATGGCGTAGAAGTTGGAAATGTAGATATATGAAATATATTAAGATGTTACTGAGATCATTAACTGGGTAAATAAAAAAAGTACTTTAAACTAAAAAGTTATCGTTACAATGAGAGCAGGGCCGTAAACTTCATGTCGCAAACGAATTAGTTTGCAGGTCTTTGCTTGATTCGCTTTTCGCGCCCCTCTTGAGTTTACTTCTTCAACCATGGCATGCGATCGGATCTTCCGAGTATTTTCAGAATTACCAATTGTCCCAGCCAGGTGCCACAGAACTTCTCAGTTGAAAATTCAAACCAGCTAACCGCTTACCGTATTTCAAAACAGCTGGTTAAGGAAAAATGTAAGTAATCGTTAGTTCATCGGATGTGAGAGCTGCCTGAGAGAAGCCCAAAGTAAAAATTTAGGGACCATTTTATCACCTACAGCAGCTCTAGGAGTGGACCACCGCGTTGAAAACTTCAGTGATGTAAATTACAGGGCATCTACAGCAGAAGTCTTACTTCGAGAACTAACACGTAGCTTTTTCCTTAAAAAAGAAGCAGGAGACATAACAATTTTGCCGAATCCTTCTTGATGAGCAAATGCGTAACTGGAACGTTTGGAACTTCGCCTACGAACCAGCCGCGGCTTGAATTCTTCAACAGGCACCCCCGTCGTCAATCTCTTATGCCTCTCTTGCCGTCTAACCGTGTCGCTTAGCGATGGGTAGAGTTCATTTGAAATGAAATGATACGACAAACGAGGCGTGGCAGTTACCACCAGGACCAGCAGCAAGCAGAACCAAAACGCGCCATTGCCGTAAACCTCAAATTGCCTGCCGTAGTAGTGTCCCTGTGGGATTATATTGAACACGAATTCCGCGTAAAAGGCGAAGTAAAATACGAAATAGAATAAAATGCTTCCCCAAATGAAAAAGTGATTAATCCATGTCCAATACTGAGTGATGAAGGAGATCTGGAGAGGATAAAAAAATAATAATAAAAAATAAAATAAATGCACTTTATTTGAGTGTCAATGTATTTAGCACGAAAGTACTAATTGGGGACACTATTTTTACTTCTCCTACTGGAGACGGAACCGCCACTTTACGTGGTCATCCGAGCCACGGGAAGGTCTAGCCATTTGCAGGGCAAAGGCAGTACCTTCATTCCTCAGTCATTTTAACACCATGAGTATTGGTCCGGTCCCTGAAATCGAACCCGTGACCCCCCGCTCTGCAGTCAAGCGCTCTACCGACTGAGCTGATACTGCCTAAATAACAGGCGTGTAACACATGGAGACATCCTTTAAATGAACGCCAATGAAAATGACATCACGTTCTCGTTTTTAGGGTTAGGACTGCATTAGGTCACATGACTACGCTGAACATGTGACAGGAAGAATGAAAAACGTGGGCGCTAATTCACAGCCTCGTCCGCGGTTGAGGGCCAGGGGCCCGTTTCTCGAGAGGCCCGGTAACTTTTCGGGCCCGAAATCAAATATTCAAATAGAAATAAAAAGAACAAGAACGCTGGTCCTGGCTAGAAAACTACTCCATTTTGTTTCATTAACTGATAGTTTTATCATGTTAGATGCAAAACTACTGAAACCCCGATCTTTAATGTAAACGGTAACAGCTTGTCGGGCCCGTTAATTATCGGGACTTTCGAGAAACGGACCCCAGGTGACTTCGCTTAATTCGGAGCGGCACTTTTCAAATAATTGGGACCCTAAGATCAGACGACAGCGACGGCAACGAGAGCGTCTAAAGAGCAACACATTTAATACGCAAAAGAACAAAATTGCACTTGCATTACAGTTGCCTAAATTTGTCAAAGCAAGTGAGTTGGAACAATAGCGATGAAGATTAGAATAACGTGAATTCACTTATTTAGCGACGTTTTCTTCGTTGTCGTCGTCCTTGGCGCGGATCTTAAGGTCCCTAATAGCACGTTTTGAACTCACCTCAATGTTTACAACGACTACCAGAATGGCTGCGACTACCGTGCCAAAGAAAGATACCGATGAGGTCTCCAGACCATCACTGGTTATCCGATCTTGAAAAACACCGTAAGAAATGAAGAAAATAGCTAACGACGTCAGAGTACCGTACAACAAACTCAGGAAAAAGATTTTCCGGTTGAACATCTGGTTTGTTTGACCAGGAATGTACAAACGAGGATGCTTAGAACAAGACTTCTCTGAAACGTCCTGAAAGGAAAGGAAGTAACACAGAACGACGTCAACTAACAGGGTTATTATAAGGTCAGATTCTACTTACGTATTCAACGTGTGGACACTTGAAAGGAAGATAAATCGAATCCCGAGTGGAACTACATTTAGCGGGTTCTAATTTTAGCAATTTTTAGCTGGTGTAGCTGGCGGAAGGGAGGGCGAGTGCATAAGAAAAGTGACGGGCAAATTAACGACGCAAAGACGTTTTAGGAAAACACGCGTCAACCGGATGTAGACTTTTCGCAAGCATTCTTAGGCAGCGGTTTTGCTCAAATGTTTGTTCCACTAGGCAGATCTGTTCGGAAGACGATTTGGAACTTTTTCAACTTTCTTGGTCGTCTCTAAAAAATGGTTCACCTAGAATTTTTTCGGGAGCCTTTCTTCTGGCTGAAATTTTCGGACCCACCTAGGAAATCCGAACAGATGAAAAATTGTTAGGGGATAAAAATATGCAACACCGTTTAAATACTAAAATACAACATCCCCGCTTTGTATTCTCGTTGGGTGCCCTTGCAACATCCCCACTGTAAGTCTGAGTCTGAGTTCTCACGGCAACGAAGAGTTCAAGACTGAGTGGTGTGTTCCTTCCACGCTATCTACTGAAAGATGACTACCTTGATAAAGGATATCACAAACTTCCTACCTGATCAAGAACTGCTAAAAACACGATGGGAGCCGAGGTGAAAAGTACGTTATAAAATGAGATAAACCATGCATCATAAACAGTCTGAAATGAAAGAAAGAGTGGTTACGAGGTCATCACTAACAACAGACCAACAACATCCACAGAGACAGGACACCCCCCTTCGTGGATTAATAATAATTTAGATACAGATTTAGCTAAACAGGTCATTTCAAAGGCCTTGGTTAAATTATTGCAATTCTCTTTACAGACATTGCTCGTGATGTTTTGTGTTGCTAACTCATCACCCGCATAGTGGTGTAACGATTAATCGCGATTATGACCATTCGGTTCGATTCACGATTCTTTGCTTCCACGTTTCGATTTTGGTGCGATTTTTGTACACCTTTTCCACGGTGTCCTCAGTGAGTTATTATATTGTTAAATCAGAATCCAGAACTCTTTAAAATGTGCGTTTTTGATTGACGAACAAAGACGATGGCAGTTCGTGCGCCATTTTGTGTTTCCTGTAAAAATGCTTTCCTTCAACCACCCCTTGAGAATTTCCAAATAAGGCAAACCATGTGCGGCACGCTCTTTGTAAGGTTCTCAAACATGGCGACGAACCAAGCGACTGTTAATCCTCCTGCCCCTGTTACTATTCTCAAATTGAGGGTTTAGGGTTGCATATTGTTAACATTACGCGTTATGTTATAAGAATTAAGAAACATTTACATAATCGAATCGAAATAATCGAAATCGAAAGACAATAATCGAAATCGAATCGAATCGCAAGGAATATGAATCGTTACACCCCTACCCCCGCATTTTGTAACTTCTTTAGTCCAGTTCTGGTAACTCTCCTTGTGAAGCACATCGACGAGAAGGATCTGAACTGGATGATTTGGAAGAAGAATTCTAACACCAGAAAATTCAGAAAAAATTCCGAGCTCCAAGTGAGAATCGAACTTACGACCCTCCGAGTTCTAGTTCGGATGCTCTAACAACTGAGCTACGAGAGGCTCAGTGGCGAATAAGCGGCGATTCTTAATTGTAAAAACGTATAAAGCTTTATCCTTTAGCGAGCATTTTGCACAGCAATGCTTTAATATTCTACCTGGCTGATTGAGGCAATAGCTTAAAGATACGAAAAAAAAAAAGAAAGAAAAAGAAAACAACAACAACAACAACAACAACAAAAACAAAAATAAAAGTGAAAGTGAAGAATGAAGAATGATCATCGCAGGAAATTTTCCAATTTAAGCAATTGGAAAGAAGAAGCCTGAAAAAAATCAGGGCTTCAACGGGATTCGAACCCGTGACCTCCGCGTTACCGGTGCGTTGCTCTACCAACTGAGCTATGAAGCTACACATTGACCTCGCTCAAAATGTGTGGCTTCATAGCTCAGTTGGTAGAGCAACGCACCGGTAACGCGGAGGTCACGGGTTCGAATCCCGTTGAAGCCCTGATTTTTTTCAGGCTTCTTCTCTCCAATTGCTTAAATTGGAAAATTTACTGCGATGATCATTCTTCACTTTCATCTACAACCGCAGTTCAAAATGAATTATTTCATATATACTTCAGAAATAAAAGTGTCAAAACAGCAATACTGGAATATAAAGTCTATCAAGGAGATTACATTTACCTGCGCTGAAAATCCGGTAAAAAAAGCGTACCATAGTTGACACAAGGTGAATGCAAAATTCTTGTAGAAAAAGTAGTTTAAAAATTTACTCATTCGAAAGTATGACCACCGTCCATGGACGAGAAGGAGTCTTTGAAGATACGTAAATAAGCTGTTAAGAAAAAACTCACAAGTGTGGACAAGACCTCAGGGATAAAACTAGGGTGAACATAGCAATCTTGGATGTTGAGCGAGAGCTTGGGTCGAAGTTGTGTCGAATTGCACCGTGGGACTGTTTTGGAGACGCTTTCTCTTCTGTCATTGGCTATTACAAATTGCGCGGGAACTGGAGAAAAATTATTCCACCAAAACAGTACCACAGTGCAATTCGACGCAACTCCATAACAGTCTCACGCGAGCAACCTCAAAATGGCCAATCAAAGTCTTAGATCACAACGCACTAAGGTCTGTATATAGAGGAATTCGGTCGCTTCCAAGGGTGACAGGGGCAAAATTTTGCGGAGGGGGGTGGTGAATATTTCATTGCTGGACTTTGTAGTGTCGACTCTCGAATCGTGTCATTACTAACGGCAATTCACCATTTCCACAAAGATCAGAGATAAATGCAACTTGTTTACCTCACAAAATTTTGTCTTTGATGTCTCTTAGGACGATTGTAATACCCTAGCCTGCGAACGCAGACGTATTTCAAGTCGTCGCTTCTCTCCACCCGAGCTAGTATTGGAAACAATGGTTAAGCAAAATTTTGGGAGGTTAACAAGGTGCATTGTGGTCTCGGTGAACATGGTGAATTTTAAGTCTGGGCCTGCCTCGCGATCGCTTTCACTTATTTTGGGGATATTTGAGTTAATCAATAAGGAAAGCAGGGGCCATCATCCCCGCTTTAAAGGTCCGTGCTCTTCACTAAACCTTGGGAAAACCTGTGGAGTAGGTGTAATATTGATCGCGTGCAAGTTTTCCTATCGTCCCGCGTGAATTGCAACCCCCCCCCCCCACCATCCTTACGCCAGTTAACACTAATAATAGTCAGTGTATTGTGTTAAAATAAAAAGGATATTTAAACTGCCCAAAAGAGAAATCACTAGCTAAAACAGCCTGCATTCCTTCTTGACCACTTATTCCAACGCCTATGTGCGCAGCTGAAAGTACAAAAAATAAATACTAATGAATTTAATTAAAACTTTAATATAAGGGGACACAAACGACAGCTTCTCTCTGTCTTCTCCGTTTCACTAAAGTGGATTATCGGCAAGTGAGGACAAATGTTTATCGGGTATTTTCTCCCTGTTATATAAGAGGCTTTATAAGTGTAGAAAAACCATCGCGTCCTTAAGACGGACAACTGACAAGTTATTCCAAGATTTTCGAGAGAAGCATACCTTTGATCATACTGACGTCATTAGCTCCGTCTCCAATGGCTAACGTCACAGCATTCAGATTGTTTTTTACAAGCTGGACAACTAATGCCTAGAAAATAGGACACGAGACAAGGATAAATTCTCACCTGAAAGTCAATGCTATACACCGAAGACGGCTATGATAACGAGAGCGGCAAAAATCCATAGTTTTAATGAGATATTCACATGATACCGGAATGACTTTTATTCTGGAAGGAGTTCATTCTACCGGCATATATTTGTCTCTATTTGTTCACATGATACCGAAACAAAATTTCGTTCCCGTACAGGTCATCATTCCGGTTTTCAATCCGAATGAAATTCTCGTTCTGGTACGTAATTTCATTCTGGAGTCATTTAAACTGGAAACGAACTTCGATCCAGATTGAAAATCGCGAGTGGCGCATGCGTATCTGAAATGACGCGAAAGCCACACCAGCGAGAACGCCTTAGGCTGAGCCGTTCGATCTTATCACGTGAATGCAGTACGAACTTCACTTTAGAAAGCAACTCATTCATTCCGGTTTCATAAAACCAGAGTCTAAATCTCTGAGTACTCCCCTCCCCAAGCCCTCCCTTTAAGAACTAAGCTAGCAGTATGGGGGTTTGTGCATCGTGGTCATCAATTAAGAGCATAGGAAATTACCTTTTGAAGTGGAGTAACTCTGCAGCATATCACAGCTTTACAGAGGCACGCTAGAGATAAGAATTCTTTCTCCACACTTTCTTGAAGGGCAAATGCCTAAAAAGAATGTAAGGAGCGTTTTTTGTTGCCATAAAAAGAGCAAGAAAATAACACAGCGAATAAAAAAAAAAGGTTGAATTTCTATGAAATACACTAAAGATATTATGTTATTGACTTACTAAACTCTTTCCAGGAATTACGAGTCCAAATGTTTCTTTTGCCTTCTTCGCCTTCTGTGAGAAACAAGTCAAAAGTAAATACGCATGAGCGCGCTGATGCACGTGGGATAGTTTTAATCTATTTATGCTTTTTACGGGACTTTTGCAGCGTCAAATGTCGGGCAGTCTTCGTGATTAGGATACATCTGTAACAGGCCCCTTTTCAACGCACTCTCAGAGGTAAATTGATCGCGGCCGCTATCTTGAAAGCAAAGTAATCAGTTTTGACTCGCCCTAATCCTTTAGGAAAGCATCAGTCAAACAAATAGTATCATCGCTTCCACTGCAAAACACGGTAATAGTGGAGTTAGAATGTTGCTCTCCCCATCGCAGGTTTACTGACAGGTCAAGACCGTTCGGTATCACTCCACAACTAGAATTTCTCTTACCTCTGCTTGTTGTGATATTTCCCCCACGAAATTGTCCTTGTACGATAACACTTCGACCTCAACATCTTTAAGACTGTTATCTTTGCTCTGCATCCTGGAAACAGCTGCTTCTGGGCCTAAAATTTTGCCTTTGCATTCCTCAATGGCTTGCTGCACACTCTCCAGTGATTCACCCTCAATTTTAAAAACTTCCGTCATGTCGTCAGTCAACAAATGACACGAGTAGCCTATGTTGATGGCCGTCTCTGTAAACAACAAAAAAAACTTATTCATTCAAATTTCTATGTAATATTTTGTCCACCAAAATGGCCGCCCTGTCACGTGGTTTAAGACTAACAAGAGGCAATTTCTCAGTTGTGTGCTCCGTTTCCTGGCTATTGACCGGAAGCGAGGCTAAAGTTGACTATGTTTTGTTACAAAACCTCCTGTTTTGAACGTGTAAATGATGATGTTCACGATTTTGTTAGCATAAGAATAACACGAATTGCACATGAAAAGAAAGAAGGTTTGTAACGTAACACAGGTCACCTTCAGCCTCGCTTCCACTCAAAGGCCAGGGTACTGAGTACACAACTGTAAAATGGCCAATTGCGGATGTCAGTCCAAGCTTACGGAATAAAAGCGCCAAATCTCAGCAATTTCGAAAGAGCAATCCATAGTCTCCTAGGTCTGTCATTTCTATTTTCTACAGTAAAACTAATATTACTAACCTACTTTATCTCCAGTCAAAACCCAGATTTTGATATCTGCCTGTAGGTAAAGAAAGACGAATGACTGAGTTTATTCAAGATGTGTTTACTTTATGCTCGTTGATGGTAATCCCTGATTGGGCAACCTCAAAACCTCTGAGAAATTTCTAAGCCAAAGCGATTTAAACTTTAAAACTAAGTTAAACTTTTTTCTTATGTATCAGACAGGAAAACTAGACAGACTGCAAGAAAGGGTATTACGTGCAGCATTTAACAGTACATCGGATATACTTGACACCCTTCTTCGCGCAGAAAGCTAGGTTTACCGCTACACTATATAATAGAAAGTTACAAGACAGCTGTTTCTTGTTGCTCCACTTTTTCTACATTACGCATGATTGTTAGTCTGGTAATGACTTTTTGGCTACAGGGCTAATGAAAACAGAGTCATTATTTAATAGCTTCTTTTCGACGGATATTTCCCTAAGGTGGTCGATACATTAAATGGCTCGTCACCCAACCAAAGAGGAGGAGGAATCAGTAATGCAGTCACACATTCATTGCGTTACCTCTGCCAGGGTAGCAATAGTATCAGGTACATCATCTTGAAGCTTATCCTCTATTGCCGTCGCACCAAGCAAAATCAAATTCTGTTCAATGTCCTCATAAACCTACAACGCAAAAAGGAATTAACAGAGATCATAAGGTTGTCTTCTTAAAACGAACCACAGATCTCAAGGCAAACGAAAAATACAGTAGTCACCTGCTGAATAAGTTCGTCTCTGTTCTCCATAGCTAGACTGCAAAACAAAATGATACAAATGTACGTTAAAAAAGAAAGCTTAGGGTAAGAAGGCTAAAAAGCAGATAACGGATGTTCTTTACTTCTACAGAGCAATTGGCCATTTTGAGGTGGCTAAAGACTGGGACGGGTTTTTAGTCGAACTGCAGTATGGGACTGTTTAAGAGGAGTGGGGGGGGGGGGGGGGGAGAGCGAATTTTGCTCCAGTCTCCTGTGCAACCTCGTAATAGCCAATAAAAAAGCGACAGCATCTTGAAATCAGTTCCACAGTGCAATTCGAAACAACACCGACCCAGCCTTTATCGTAACCTTAAAACAGCTTATTGCTAGCTACGTCTTTACACACTGAACTTTTGTACGAAAGAAGTGTTGCGTGACTGACCCAAATTACAACCTATTTACGACGCCATTAATTCGTCGTCACGCAATCAACGGCTGAACAGGGATGCACAGGAACCAATATTCCTCAAGAAAGTCCGTTTCATCCTACGACCTTTGAATGTTTAAGAACTAATTTAGTGTTAAGTGTAAGTTTGACATTTAAAATAAGGAAGAGGAAATGGGGAAATGCCATGTTAAAACCGCCATATCTTTTTAAACGAGCTTTTAAATTGTAGTAGAATACATTTTTCGTTTATTTTATTATTCACTTATATTTTTATCGTCATCATCATTTTCATTTTTTTTAAACCTTTTACCTGCTTGTAAATTTTTATTCATTTTTAGTCTTTTTAACTTACTGTAAAGCGCATTTGATCATGCTCCATTGAAATTTGCTTTACATAAGTTTAATTAATTGTATTTGTAATTGTACGAGGACAAATTTTCTTGTGAATAAACATCCAAGACGGGAGGGCCGATGAAGTAAAACCTTTCTTTTTTTCTTCCGGTATAAGATAAAAAAAGCATTTGAACAGCGAGTCTTTTACCTAGCCTCGTCGTATTTAGTTTTCCACTCTTCGTACAAATCCATTGGTATGTCCTTATATGCTGTCACCAATGTACGCAAACCTTCCGCAGCAAACATCTAAGATAAAAGTCAATGACAGTAAGCAATCAAATCTACAGAAAAAAAGCGCCTTCGCGAATTCGCGGCATTGTGACAAGACGAAGCTCTTACCCGTTCTAAGTTGACGAGGACTCGAATTATTTGGGCATTTCTTACTAGATGACTTGAAAATAATTGAGGAACAATCTTCCTAGATCTCCTTAGAACTACTCTTTTTAAGCGACTTTGTTTTCATTGTTTAACTTTCGCCTAGTGTGAACTAATTTTAATTCTAGCTTACACTATTGTGAGATGAAAATTCTCCAAAAAAAGCCGTTACAGTGCCCTGCTGAAGCCCCTAAAAGGAGGAGAGATGTGTATAGAAGTAGTTCACAAGCAGCTTACGTTTAGATGCTGCATCGTTTTTGCCATAAGCGGTTTGCAGGAACGATCAAGACGTTCGTAAACAATAGTATCTACAAAACAAAGAGCAAAACAAAATTTAGTAAAACTTCGCCAGGATATTCTTATAGAAACTACATTTCCTCCGCCAAAAAAAAAAAACGAAAAAAACTCAAGTTAAATTAACCCTATAATCTTAAAAACCCTTAATTTCCACTCCACTAGGACAACGACCGCTTCAAAAAAAGCACTGTTCGTTAGCCTTCTCTCGCCACTTTAGAAACGCGAACTGAAGGAAACTGGTCCGAGTTAACTTTTGCAAAGACTTCTGGGACTGTTACCAGGGACAGAGGAAAAATTGGCCAATAGCTGACAAGCGCATCCCCTGTAACTATCCCAGAACCAATTGCGGGACGTACTTCGGCTCCAGTTCCCCTCTCTTTTTTTAAGTGGCGAATGGTCAGTAAATCTGTAACATTTCTGTACTCGAAGCCAAAACTAGCGTTCAGTTTCTAGCATTAGCTGCAATGAAAAAAACAACCACTTACCTGCTCCCTTGCAGTAGAGTCTTATTTGATCGTCTCTTTTGACAATCACCTACACATAAAAAGAAAAAAACAAACAAACAATCAAAACACTGAAATTTCTTTGTAACATTTCCGTACCTGAAGCTTGTTGATACTCAAATGCTACGCACTTGAAACAGAATCATAACTACCCCCCTTCCCCTTCCTTTTCCTTGCAAAATACTAAATCACCCCTCGCGCTCTTAGGGCCAGTTACACTCAGGGATAGAGGTACCGTGACAAATTGGACAGAGAACTAGGCTCGCAATCCGGAGGGTCCTGGGTCTACGTCCCACCCTGACCACTGGCTGGACTGATTTGTTTCTCGGAAGCAACGAGTTCAGCTCCTCAGCCACGCTTGTAAACAGCCGACTGGTCTGCCTCCTACTATTGGGATTCGCAACAATGATGTTACCGGTATGTTGAATTTGAATTATCTATTTCAGTCGTTGATTTGCTCCGGGATCTACGTCTCTTCGAACTGTGGTGTGGGTCCTTTTACGTCCCACAAGAACGAGATAAGTGAAAGTGCTGTGAGACGGGACCTATGGTTTTTCGTCCCTATCGAAGAAAACTAGGAAGTCTAACCGTTTGCAAATGTTATTGCAAAGGCAAAACTTTCTCCTCAGCTATTTAATGGCCCTGAGTGTTAGTGCCGCCGGTGTTTGAACCCGCGACCTCCCTCTCAGCAGACCGGCGCTCTCTCAACTGAGCTACCTAGGATGCGGTCAATTTCTCAGAAATTTTTGTTTTAATGCAATACTCTGTTTGAAACACGCCACTCCTAACAATTCTATCAGTTTTCTACAGAAGTAGAAGGAGCAAGGGGCAGCGCGCAAGGAGTGAGATAATCTCGGATCCAATCGACATCCAGAAGGTATGTTAATTGCACCTTCAACATGGTGGTATGTTATGATCGTACTCACCGACATCCGTTTTCGTTCATTATTGAAGTCCAAAATGGCTAACAACTCGTAAATTTCCTGAAACGAGGAAAGAAACAATTACGATCACGGTTTTGTAAACGTAATAAGGCAGGGAATCGACAAACACACTTTTTCAACTCGACATACAGAGATCAGGAGTCTTTGCCAAACATTGACCTATAAGCAGTTTAAGCTAAAGTGAAGGAGGTTTCAGTCAAGCATTGAAGGGGTTCTCCGTTGTACTTTTGTTAAGGCATTTCGTATTGTAAAAAAATGACCGTGCCAAGACTTGTTCAGTGACAATTTGGCACACGCCGGATGCAACAAATATATATAATATTGATCTATTCAAGTAGAAGTACCAAAAGAAATACTTTAATCGTTGAGAGCCATCCAAGCTCAACTTTGACTCAAGTGACTTGCGCGTCTTTTCATCTGCTACTTCTAGTTGAGTCACCTACAACCTCGTTCGGGTTCCCAGGGGCTGCAATGTTTTTGGTCAGCGCCACAGATCACTGACTGAACCTCTGAGATAATCCAAATACGATCACTCCCGATGGCTAATAAAAACGTTTCTTTTTCATGCAAATTAAAAAGAAGTTCTTGGCGCGGGCAATGGCGAGCTATGTCCGAAGTTGTCGAAAAAGAGGGTTCATCGTTGCGCTGTTGCAATGTGGTTTATAACCTTTGCATTTCTATCCGCGGAAAAATAGAAATCGGCTGGGGTTATATTTCGATATGGTTTTGTTAACGTTTACACATTGTAGAAGAATAGACTTTATTAGCTCGAGGTGACTCTTTACCCATTTCACATCACGTTATTTTTATCAACAGAACTGTTGTTTTTAGATTCTACGTGTATATGAAAACATATTTTATAAAGAAGGTAAAGATAAAGTGCAGTGAGAACCCTGCTTGGTGAGAAACAGATAAACAACTGCACGCATGCGCAATCGAACCGGAAACAGGATTTTGCGGCTTCGGGTTTGGACTCCGCGTCCGGGTGTCAATGCTCGTTCCGCTATATAAGCGAAAAGAAAGTTCTACAAACAAGATAAAAGTACCTTTTCCCCTGTAACATCAATAGTAAGAGTGGTCGGCGAACGACCCTGTGAAAACAAGAAAGAAAAAAAAGAAAGGTCTTCAGAAAGATTTTATATTAATAATATCACCAGCTTGGAGCAAATAAAAATCCCAGGCAACAACCCCCAAATGAAATACGCAAATGTGCTTTTGTTACCACAAAGGCGAATCCAAAGTTTCTTGCGGCCGTAACTAGAGCTGCTTCATCAGGGGACTGGGCTTGATATTCCAAGTTATCTTTTCAAACAAAATACAAACAAGTGAAAGGTTTACAATTTACTTCTAAAAGGGGTTACGTCATTTCTTTGTTCGAAGGGGATTACGTCACCAGGATAAATTTAACCTGATTTCAGTGTTCAAAAGCATTTTCGCGGATAATTTTCTGTGCTATTTTTAGAGCTTCCAATCTTCAGCTTGTTGACAAAAAGAATTAAAACTGAAATGCTTTTTAGGCTTTCAAATCTGAATTCAATCTCGCACTAACCCTGGGTTATCTTAACCCAGCTTTGAACAACTCTAATAGGCTGATTTAGCAACAGAACGGGAACGCCAGTTGACGACAGAAAAAGCGCGCGAAAAGGACTAAACGCGACTTCCGGTGCCCAATTTGCCGCTCTGCCATTGGTCAAACCAGTTGTTTGATTTGCGCGCGATGTCGTAAACTGACGTTCCCGTTCTACTGCTAAATCAGTTTAATGCTACTTTGGGTCTACTCTGTTTAAGTCATTTTAAAATTAGTGCGGCCTTTACCCATAGACAAAATGCTCCTGTAGAGTTGTGAAAAAGATATCAAACAAACTTTTAATTTCTTCAGAGAGCAGTAACCATAGTAATAAATGTTTTGGTGATTTTTACAGGCATAGAACTGAAACTTGAAAAAAGCTGGCCCGATTTTTTCAAGTTTAAATCAATGTCCATTCTTTCACTCTGTAGCAACAGACGGCAGAAAACAATTTCAATGCCTAAACAAGGTCTTACACAACAAAACTGGACCATTATTTTGTAATTTCCATTGACGCAAAGGCATGTTTTGGCTTTATAAAAAGAATACAATAAGCGTGAGATATCCATTTAAAGACTGATTTTCACTAGCAACGGAGTCGGAGTAGTGATCAGAGCCTCGAAGGAGCTCTTAGGACCTAGAACAAGGGGAAGGAACGAGTCACGAAGCCCTAAGAACGTCTGCGTGGGAGGCTATACTTATAGTGAAACTAAAAAATCGGCGTCGTAAGCGGAGTCATAAGCGCAACGGAATCGGAGTCGGAATAATCAGAACGTTTTCATTTTCTTCCGACTACGCTAATAGCTTCATCGCTTACGATCTAGTGAAAACGAGATTGTCGGAGTCGGAAGCAGAAACGGAATGCTCGTTCAGACGCTTTGTGATTGGTGAAGTTCTTCCGCCTTCTAGTTGCTACTCCGACAATTTAGTTCTCACTTGGTCGTAAGCGACGGAGTAATAAGTGGAATCAGAACGCTGTTTTCACTAAATCGTAACGCTCTACACTCACTGATTACGACTACTACTAAGGTGGTAGTGAAACCCAGCCTTAAGGGCAGGGCCGCGTTGTTCAAAGCAGAGTTAACCCAAGGTTAGAATTAAAATAAGAATTCAGATATAAAAGTGTAAAAAGCAAATTCAGTTTAATTCTTTCTGCAGATAATATGTTAATTGAATGCGCTAAAAAGAATACAGAAAATTATCCCGGAAAATACTTTTGAACAAAAGAAAACAAAACCTGGGTTAGGCTAATCGGCCTTCCAACAACTCGGCCCAGGTCAAAAGCAATACACACAATGAGAGCTGGCGGACAAAAGACAGTCTGCCACCCTCTTCCCCCTCCCCTCCTCTCTGAAAAAAAAGTGTCTGAATGAAAAAAACCCTCCTTGGGAGATATGTCTGCATGATAATGTATAAGATTCTCGAGACCAAAAAAAATAAGTAATTTTTACCACTGTTGGATTCTACCATAACAGTATGACATACAGCCAATAAACGAAAGAACTCCTGACATTCCTGCAAAGGAAAAAATAAAAAAAATGTGGTCAGAACAAGTGCACCAATTTTGACTTTGTTACCACGAGGTTGATACGGAACGTTGTTCATACAAACAGATCTATGATACAGTTATCAACACAACGAAAAAAAACAATACTCCACTTTTAATTACGAGCGTTACCTTATTTCCAATGCCTATTTCATCCATCAGAGTCTGGTCCGTAAACCTGAATTTGCCATCCGCGTAAGGATTCTTGGAGAAGTCAACGTTTTGGGCCTGATTAATAAAGGTACATGTATCACTCCTTGTCCTTTACTCGTACCGTATACAAAACAAGACAAAATTGGAAGCTACAAGATTTAGATTTTTCATGCTCTTATGATTTCTCTATGAATTGATCGCGAGAATATCGCGACGGCCCGGATAATAAATAATAAAGGCAATTACGGAATGTTTTGCCAAGTCTTGAAGCTGTACATAGGTACTTCAAAGTAAAATCAAGTTTTCATTTCAATGAGAGCGCTTTATACCGTAGCGATTTCACTTCTTTGATAGACTCAGCTTGTTTTCGTTGACTATGGACGTTAAAACATAAATTGGAAAAGCAAAAGGTCTTTCCGGATATATACAAGGATCACATAACAGATAAAGAGGATTTCTGAGGTTTGTAACTGTTGTTGGAGCAACCTGAGCCTGAACAGCGGTCAATTTAATAAAAATTTAACAAGTGTAATTTACAAGCGTAGCTATTGTTTTCTGACCCTAAAACAATGGCTACACTTGTAAATTACTCCTGTAAAAGTTTTATTAAACTGAACCCAGGCCGCGAGCAAGCTCTGCGGGTGTTGTTGCGCTCTTTCCTCCCACACACCCGTACCCTCGGGAAAGGTTGCTCGTAGGCTAGAGCCTGAGGAGTTTTCTAAATGCAATCCATGTTAATCTCCTCCAGTTTTACCCATCCTTTCCTTTCCGTGGTTTTTCTAAATTTCATTTGCGTTCTACTTAATTTTTACGCACTTCTTTTTTCGTTACATTCTGTGACCAATTGGTGAGTGCTGAAATTCAAGATTGCAGTCATTTTAAAACTGTTTCCGGTAGTGTACACGTTTAGCAAAAGCAACATGAAAGTTAAGAGACATAACCTACCCCCTCCTCTCTGATGGAGACTGAGCTAACAAGAGTTTGCTCGGGATTACCTGCATTTTCACCCTCTATATGACCTAACAAAGAGATTTTTCAAACAAATGTAATCATGTCGGAGATCTCAGGAAACCAAAATCAAAAGCATTACTTTGAGGCGCCCCTCAGACTTTTACCTCAGTGTTACCATTCAAATGAAAGCCATTGCGCATTCCTTTCTGTTCTCCCTACTCTGTAGAGATTTCCACTAGCCAGCGGCGGATCTAAGAGGGGTCCGGGCAATCTTGTGTATACCATTCAATTCAAGCTAACTATTTACATACATGTATTAGCTATATACAGGGACCTTGAATTCCGACGAAGGCAGCGGCAAAAAGAACGTTGAATAAGCAAAACAACAACTTTGCAAGTGCCCCAAATTTTTTGTGCGAGAAATAGGACTGAAGTGACTCTTATTATATCTAACACACTTTAAAGTCGATAGAAATTTACGTTTAGACTTTAAAATATAGTTAAGCATTTTGCATTATTTGTATCGTCATCATAATTTTCAATGCTTGGCAGAGCTAATGTGTCCATTACCAGAAAAAAACGATCATTTTGAAAACGACACTGTTTTACTTTAACTGAGAGATTAAGCGAGTCAGATGGTTAAGGGTTATACGTTTGTTTACCAAGCCAAGGTTCGAGAATATAAAAACAAAATCTTGTTTACTTTAAATGGAATCAGTTTGAAATCCTGCTTCCAAGGGGCTTTATTAGTGCAAAAGAAGTGTTATTATATTTGTAAAAATGCCGTTTCCCTGAATTTCAACCCAAATCCAAGACGAGCTTTGCGCATAGACTCAAAACCAAGTCCACCGAACTCCAGCTAAAAGTACACAGTTAAACAGTCCAGATTTAGACTATGTTCACAAGGACTGCCCACCTACCCCTCCCCTAAGGTGACATTAACACTTACTCCTCACTTAGGGCAAAATGATAACTTAGGGGAGGGGTAGGTGGGCAGTTTCCCAGCTAGCTCTTATGTCGACACGAAAACCATATCTGATAGGACTTTAGTTCACACATAACAACGGTGATTTCGGCGCGGTTTCTGTAACGGAGGGAAGTTGCGCCGCGCTGATCTCAAAGATAGATCGTCACCTATCGGGTAGGTGCTGTGCCACTCTTTGGTGCGGTTGACCTGCACCGTTCTAAACCTCTTATTTTATTGGTCCCCTTTAATCTGCACTTCTATTGTTTCCAGGGATAGGGGCGTTGTTATGTCACAATCCCTATTGTTTTCCCAGCCAATCATTTGGTGTAGTGTGAACAGGTATTGGGACCCTAGCGGGAGTAAATAAGTAGTAGAAAAGACTGGAACCCACAGAGACGATAGTAAATATTCAGGATTGAGGATTAAGATATGAGGCAGAAAATCCACCCCGCCAAACGCTCCGGTACGAGCTGTGATGTGAGTGAATGGCTTGTTCCAGCTCTTGGCCGTTCCTGTTCATACTATTGCGGATAGCTTTTCAAGCTGACGGCTATCCTGTGAAGAGTAGACCTGGGCCTGACACTGAATTTGTCACTATGCGGATCTGAAAATCGTGAAGAGACTTATGGGCGTCCGGACTTTGCTCGCAGATCTATGCATTTAGTAAATCATTCAATTTTTGGGATTTTGTAAAACTCGATGTGCTCTTTCTGACTATGAAGGTCTTTAATTGATTGATCCTATAATACACAAACTCGTACCTAGTACCCCATGAGACGAGAACCGGCAATGGTCTCAGCGAGATGCAGTGGAAGCTGTCGTAACGGGACACCCTCGGAACACCTTAGGGTACAGAGTTTGTATGGGCGTTGGGAAAAACGGGGTTTTGTGAAGGTGGCCGTAAGTAGAGCTGTCCCGGCGCCTGCAAGAGCTTCCACTGTACAAACACTGCACGTTTAGGATCTGTTCACACTTAACCAGATTCTAGTGAGCCTTAAGCAAAGACGTTTTTGAGCTAAGCACGTCAACCGGAAGTGGTCTCTTTTCAATTGTGGACGGTGGTTTAGCCCTAATTTTTGGACAAATCTCTATAATAGTAGACACTAAGAAACACAAATTTGGAAGCGTCAAGGCGCTTTAAAATGAAACAGATCTCACTTCCGGTTAACGTGCGTCGCTCAAACACGCCTTTTGCTTAAGCTCCCTAGTTTTTGCGACGGCACGAAATCATACTGGATAGGACATCTGTTCACACATACGAACGGTGATTTCAGTGCGGTTTCTGTAACGGAGCGAAGCTACGCCGCGCCGATCTCTTACGTTAAGAGTCACATCTTGAATAGGTGTGGTCACACTATTCAGGACAGCTATTCGAGTCGGCACGAAAAGCTGTCCGGTATAATGTGAACATAGCCTTAGCCTCCCTCCCTTAGGCAGGCAGGCACCTCTCCTCAGTGCATGGATACTTAAACTGATTCCAAAGATGTCCACCAACGGGTGAATTCAACAGTACTTGCTGGTTCTCTACTGTATCGAATTTAAAAGTGAAAGAGTTTAAGTTCGACGACTGTCACACTGTCTGGTAACGGTTTTCAGATCCACGTCAGAAGTGGGTTAGAAGTTTTAACAGAGCATTGTTTTTGTTGACACAGCCTTGGATATGGGTTGTAAATTGCAGAGATGACGGTCATTTCAGTTAAGATTGATTGAAGGAAAGAGGCAAAGACATGTTATCATACGTACGTCGAGGTACATGCAGAGGACAGTCAAAGAAACAGCTATGAAACTGACAAGAGACGTGTGACTTGTGCTTAGAAGGGTGCTGCCAGACAGAAGAAGCAGGATCAGGATGGTCGCCTGGGATTTACAGATATTTTATTAATTTAGTTATTTATAGCCTGAGAAAACAGTTGCCATTTAGCGACGTCACCACTAGTTTCCCCGCGAAATGAAGCCTCAAGAACGAGCGTGGAAATTGCATACTGAGTCACAATTCAGATCTGGTTCGTGCCTTTGATTGGTTGAAAATTTGCTTCACCAAATCAGAAGCAGCACCTAGATCTGGGTAGTTACACGTCATCAGTATGGAATTTCTGAACTCGTATCTCAGTCGTCCATTCGCGGGGAAGCCATTGGTGGCGTCGCGAAATGTCATCTGTTTTCAAAGGCTAGGTTATTTATTTATCAGCGAAGTTAAAAAAGGGCAAGTTAAGATAACACACTAAAACACTGGGGTCATGTTTCTAAGACATGTGGTGGCACGCGTAACAGTGCCACAAAATTACGCGCATGCACAGAGACATGCAAGGTGACAAAGTCACAATATCCGCACAAACATCAAATACAAGCGCGAGGAATGTTTTTGGTTGTTGTGTTTCCCTCGGAGCGGGAACAAAATGAATCCTGATATTTTTCTCTGACGGGCTAAAATAATAGCTTCGTTGCAAGGACACGTTGCTCAACCGTACCTACTAAAGTTCATGGCAACCACGCCGCGGAGACAAACTAGTTTCAAAGTTTCATGTTGCACGAATAGAAACTGTATAAGAAAGCGTACACGCGTCTACCTGGGGCTTACCCACTCAACATGACCTCTGGTGATTTCGTTATTTTTGCCAATAGCTTTCTTTTAAATACACTGCTGCAATAGAATGTTAGTTGCTTGGCTAAAGCTGCGTCGATAATTTTAAAATCAATATCTTTACTGAATACATATTCTTTACAGTGCAGAAATGTTGTTAGTTAAAATTGGTTACTTAATTGTTAAGAAGAGTGAAAGCTGCGCTTGGCTTCTTTAACACATAAAGATTAATGTTTTTAATTGTTGGTAATCTCAAGCTACGAGAAAGAAAAATATAAAAGAATTCTTAACAAGCCACGAGTTTATCTCTCTGTCAAGTGAACAATTATGGTATCTAAACAGGCACAATGCGGATTTATTCAAGCAAACTGGCCTGATAAACTTGGTTGCTTAGAAAGAAAGAAATAAAGAGTGATTACCAACCGATTAGAGAACATCTCCTTGTCTAGGTACAATTACTTGTACAGAACTAGAGAAAAATGACGCATCTTACGTTATTGACGACGCTAAAGCAACAGCTACTTACCAAACAATCTGCCATTAATTGAACATTTCTTAAAGGTCATCACATTTTGTGTGAGAGTTCCAGTCTGGATTGAAAAACATAATCTTTGTTGTAAATTAAATAAACTTCATGCAAATGAGTTCGCTTAAAAAGTCGGAGGGGGAAGAGAGAATACCAGATTTACGTCGACCCCTGATTTGGAGCTCGTAGAAAGTCAAATTTGTTAGCATAGGGACCTGTTTATATCCAGATGTGCATTTGACGTTAGGCTAACGCGTGAGTGGCAAACCGGAACCGGGCCTCTCTTTCTCGCTCCCCGTCACCTCGGAAAGAGAGGCCCTGGAAACTTCATAGGTGCCATAACGAAAAATCTTGTAACGATGAGTAGGCACTGGGCAGGGCTCAAAATAACGGCCGGTCAGCAGAAAATGTCCAGCCAGAATGGCGACTCAGTGACCGGCCAAACAATTCACTCGCCAGTCATGTTAACCGATCAAAGCTTATGACATTCGATGACGCAAAACTAAACGAAACAATCTGTGGCCTCAAAAGTTTTGCTAGATACTATGGAGGAAATACGTAGTGAGTCAAGGTTGGGCATAAGGTTACTTTTGTAGTCAACATGGTCATTTTGTTTCGCTAGATATCATCCTCGAGCCTCTGTTGTTATTTGGCGAAACAAGACGTTTATCTTGGCCAAATCGTTTGGCCATTAAGCCACTTTTTAAAAGGTCTAGCGACGACTAGAACGAGTAAATGTTAAATTTGGCCTAACAGGATGCTATTAGTAAATTATTGTTTAATATTTTTTAGTCTGAACGAGCAGAAATGAGACTTAACAGAGCAAAATATTCTTTGGCCTTAATCAGCGTGTCCGGTCACCTTCCAAACATTATTTTGGGCCTTACTACTACTACGTCCTGCCCGCTATGCTCGCTGGTATGAGGGGCAGCAACGAAGGTCCTCCTTCCCTGTCTGTTCTGGGCCTTCCGGATGGTACCCTACTGGGTCCCTTAATTTTGCACGTGCAGAATAAAACAGAATGCACAGAATATATTCACCTTATCGGAGAAGATATACTGAATTTGGCCAAGTTCTTCCGTTAGAGTGGTTGTTCTGAAAAAGGAAATAGTAACTTAACAACTCGCCTTTTTTAATACTTAGTAAGCTCAAGTGAGCCACACTATACTGTGTGTTACAGAAATATAAAGACAAATGCAACGTAGACACTGATGTGTACTACATCTGATATGTTTGAAGGTAAACTAAGCATACCTTGCCAAAGCTGGGGTATCTTTTATTTCGTAGTACATTGAAGCGTCCCAGTTTATCCATAAACTTTGACCAAGACGAATCACCTCTATGCTGTAGATAAAGATTATCGCCATTTCATATGAGTGCATGAGTGGATTTGTATCAAGCAAATCTAGTTCTATTGCTGGAACAATAAGCGTGCGAACTGAATCTGTTCCACAGAATAGCTTCTGGTCAATACTGCTCTTTGTTCTTATCAGAATACTTAGCACTGCGATGCGTCTTTGGCGCGCAACTTAGCCTGCGAGCGCAACCACCCTCCCCCCAGAGAAGCGACGACCAGAAATAAGTCTGCGTTCGCAGGCTTAACGCAAACAGGCATGAAAAAGATGTCCTGTCACAAGCATGGGCCTGGGGGTCGCTGAAATGGTTTTATGCTCTAGCCAATGAGTAGCGGGGGGCAAAGGCCATTCACGAGATTGATATGGTATGGCACGTGACGTTTGAGATCAGACATATACTTCGATCTACATACTCATGAATAGAATTTGCCTCGAACATTCTATCGTGATCTGAAGGTTGCCAATATGCCTGCATGTCGCGCCCAAAAGGATCATTCTTACAGAAATTCACTTACCTGATGTACAGAGAAATTGGAATAAGTGTGTTCAGTACCATGACAAAAGAAGGCCAGTGCACAATTCCAATGATAACCACGCTGTCCTTGTAGAAATCTTCCCACGGTAGATATATTTGGAAATGCTAAAATAAGTAAAGGAAGAAAGAAAGAAAAAAGAGAAAGAAAAGCGCTACATTATAAAATAATCACCAACAAGGAATAATTATTTCCACATATTCTTCCTGGTGGAAATTTACAAGCATATGTTTCCTTAAGGTAACCAAATTCCGAAAAAGTAAGACCTTAATGAATACAAAATAGAAGACTAAACCTGAACACGAAGTTTCAAGTGGGTGCACCAGTTTATTCATCTGTTAAGTAAAGCGTCAAAAGGAACTTATTGGAGCGTCTTTTAGTTTGGGTGCCACAATGCATAATTGCCTCCTTAACACTATTATGAATTACCTGTACCTACTGCAGGTTAAACTAAACTACACACCTGTCCTATGATTTCCTCCCACACCGTTGTTCCAATGGAACAAAGTGTGCAAATGATGGCCAAACAAAGAGCAATCTATCAGAGAAATAATCATAATCATCAAACACGGCACAAGTCAAGAAAAGTATGTTTTATAATTTGCAACATTAGAAAGCTTATGCACGGTCCCTGATATATCCCTTCCTAAACAAATCAACCATTTGAATTGAATGTATTGTGGCAAATGACATCAAGAAAAATCGAGGAAAGAACAAATATCAATATAGCTAGAGATATTCAAGTCTCAGTAGTATGAAGCAATTAAGAGTAACAGGAGCATTACCACTCCCAGAAATGAGAAGCTACATATAGTACAGTCTAACCTTCTCCTTACGGACACCTCTATAATACGGATACCTCTCAAATATGGACGGTTCATTTGGTCCCAGAAATGCCAAAAATCACACACTTCCTACCTCTATAATACCAACACCCCTGTAAAGCGGACACTTGGTTCTGTCCCTTTGGTGTCCTTATTAAAGAGGTTTGACTGTACCAGAAGGAGGAAGAGAAAGTTGAGTGAAATTAATTTTTGAATAAAACAAGCAGGCAGAGACAAGGCCTCAAACTGCCAAACTTCATGCTGGCAACTCTCCATTAAATAGACACCTTTGGGACAGGTGTTAGTGTCGGTCTTAGAGAGATGTCTGTCTTATAGAGAGTCAACTAAAAGAATTAAAGAAAGGCAGGGACCAACTCTACCACAATTGACCTGTTCCCAACGTCAGGGGTTTCATAGCTCAGATGGTAGAGCATCGCACAGGTAATCGGGAGATCACGGGTTCAAACCCCGTTGAAGTCCTGAATTTTTTTTCAGGCTTCTTTACACAATTGCATAAATTGCGCTCACTATGACGATCATTTCTTCATTTTCTAGGTGTCGTTCTTAGCAAGGTATCCCCCTTATAGAGGTGTGCATTAACAGAGAGTTGACCATATCGAAGATGAAAAATTAGCAATGACTCAGGCACCTCCACTCCAACATGGCTACCACTACTACTGGCACACCTCTACCACTTCGTGCAAAGTTATGGCACCATGAACCTTTCATTTCCCTCCTCAAGTTTATTTACCATGTAGAAGACAGTTTTGAGAATAAAACGTAAAAACGAACTGAGGAAACAGACTTGCAGAGAACAGGACTGCCAGCTATTGCTTCATGACAACCTGCATGTTTTGGTACTAGCAGAGAATGTGTCAAATCGGCTTACCCATAAGATCAAACTATTTGTTAGCTTATCTAATCCAGTCCTCTTGAACTTGCTGACACCTACAACATAACAAAATCACACTCAAAATTACATTTCATTACCACTTTTTGGACTTTGCTGTAGGTCTGAAGGAGGCCTAGACACTTCCTTTTGAAATTATCTGTCTGTTAAGTATACTTAAGCTTAAATACTTTAGAAAACTGTTATTCCATTTTATCTCTTTCTCTGTGAAATACATGTAACCGTGTGATTTAATGCTATCAAAACCAATGTAGTTTGCGGAACATCTTCATACCATCTTTAAAATAAACAAGCTTCAAAACCATTATTTTGAGGGATGTCCAACGTTTGGAACGGCCGCTGTACGAACAGTGAGGATTTTGTTTGGTTCATTTTAATTGGCTTGTTTGACTCAAACAATCTCCTATTTCCTCAATCTTTGCTGAGATGAAAATGCCACACAGCAGATTGTGCATTCTTGAGCGTTGCCAAATTTAAAGAAACTTAATTCAAAATAGATCTGAATTCAGCTTTCAAGTGTCTTTCAAGTGCTGGGTAGACGTGACGTAAGTTCTATGTAATAGACTTCCACATTTGTCAAATAACCGAAACACTCCTTGCAAACTTACAGGACGGTGTAGTTTAAATTATTTCTGTTTGCTAAGCCCTTTTTTCCTTTCAAATCAATAATTCCCCAGACCGTGACATTGCCAATGACATTTTCTTAGGAAATGTTGCACTGACTATAATTTATTAGCCTGAGGGGTCCCAAGCATGCAAGGAGGAAAAAACCTATTTACAAAGTAAGTAAACAAATGTACAAGTACGTACATTTCCTAATGATATAAGCCAAAATTTAATTGGTTATAGCGTCTTTAAAAAACACCCATCATTATCTACAAAAGTACAAGATATTAACTCTAACTCAGACCTGTGAAAATGTTGCGTTAACTGTATCTAAAAATATTTTGTGCCCTGTTTTTCTCCCTCATGACCCCCTTTTTATACCGCCGCCTGGTTAGCTCAGTTGGGAGAGCACCGGTCTGTTGAGCGGGAGGTCGCGGGTTCAAGCCCCGGCCGGACCAACACTCAGGGTCTTAACAATAACTGAGAAGAAAGTGCTGCCTTTGTAATGACATCTGCAAATGGTTAGACTTTCTAGTCTTCTCGGATAAGGACGAAAAACCGTAGGCCCCGTCTCACAATCCTTGCCTATATTAATACTGTGGGACGTTAAAGAACCCACACACTGTTCGTAAAGAGTAGGGGTCGTAGACCCCGGTGTTGTGGTCAACCTTGATATACGGATCCTTCGCGTGATGCTGTACAGGCTTTGCGAAGTAATATAGTAGAAGTAGAAGTTAGCTTCTCTATGGGTCCTGTGGACCCCAGTGTAGAAAATCCTCGTAAGAACACTGATTCCCATACAGTGAACTCTGTCTTAATGGACACCTTCATAATAATAATAATAATAGACACTTATATAGCGCAATATCCACTTATTGCTCAAAGTGCTACAATAATATGGTAAGAACCTAGAGTTAAAACTATAAAATAAAAATTAAATAAAGCCACTAAAATCAAACATCGTAGGCTAATTTAAATAAGTATGTCTTTAACTGCAACCTGAACTGGTCGACAGATGTAACACTCCTGAGTTCAGGGGGCAATTGGTTCCATAACCTAGGAGCAGCTGTGGAAAAAGCCCTATCACCACACGTCTTTAACCTAGTCCTAGGCACGGCTAGAAAATTCTGGGAACTAGAACAAAGTAATCGGGGACCATTAGTGTAGTGTAAAAGTTCGACGTAAGATAAGATGGAAACTTTGCCAAAAAGGACACCTAGAGTTGGCCTTTGCCTTACTTTACTCCTTGTAGTTGAGACAGATATCTCTCTAAGACACACATATTGCCGGTCCCAAAGGTGTCCTGCTAAGAGAGAGTTCACTGTACACTGTTTGAAGTAAGCCCTGGTCACTTCTGACTTAAAAGTCTTATTTAAACTTGAAGAGTAACAGTCATACCAGTGTTCATCATGAGTTTGGTGTCATGTCCAGCATATATCACTGCACCATAAACCCAATGGGTGTTACGCAGCACACATCCCTAAAGACAGAACTTTCTGATTAAAAGCTAAAAACTCACTTGCTCAGAGGCACATTCAGATTTCTCATATTTCAATCATTATTTCACATCCATTTCTCAAACTTAGGCACAAGTGGTTTGCTCTATTTCTCTAGCACCACCTCATGTTTTACTAAGCAATTCTTGTGAATAAACAAAGACCAAATATAGATTTCTGAAAAGGTGGGCTGATTAATTAAAGAAACTCAAACTGAAAGGCCTATGTGACTTGCAACTATTATGATGCAAACACAAGGCAATTAATTTACAGCAACGATCTGAAAATTTATCAGAAATCACTACTTTAATTTTTTTCCAGGAACTTCTTTAATAAGCTACACTTGACATCTTGATATTCTTCATACATCTGGTTAAATTTGTTTAGACAATGAACAATGGGGTTATAGAGAGATAGGACTGGAAAATTAGCCTGGATACCAAAACATTAAAAGTTTGGGATAAGAAATGAGAACCAACATCTGATCTACTTGTTAGTCTATGTGATCCTTAAAATTATGTCTATTATCTTTCTGGAGAGACGTTGATCAGTGGACTGAATTTCAAGGACCAAAAACTACAATTAGATGCCTTGCAAGTAACTACCAATGCACTTTCATCTTACCCGTAAAATGACATTTTCATTTTCCAGAGGATACATCTTTTCTTCATACATCAACTTTCCTTTGAACTTGTCTAATCTGTTATTAGGAGGTTCACAGCTTATTTCCACTAACAAAGGCAAAAAATGGAATTAATGAATAATTAGTAAAAATGTACAGGAAACATCCAAGAAGTCGCAAATATTTCTGTAATATAAGTTATGGTACTCAATTTTATACTTGGTTTAAATTTTATTTCTGTTTGTTTTTGGGTATGGTAATGTATAATAACGAGCTTCAAACAAAGGGAAATATAATTTAAACCAAGGATAAAATTGAACCAGAAGACATACATAATACCCTTTTTGCAGAAACTCCAAGATTTCTCCAACTTTCTCTTACAGATTTCTATGAAACTTTGCATATTAGAAGGTAAGCGCCATAAAACATTTCCAATGGAAATGCCGATAACAGGTTAAATTTGATTAAGAGGTAAAACTATTTATAGGTTGCAATGTTATTGGCTGTGAAGACCTGGCAATCACAGCATTTGATCTTGTATACTGCTCCATGTCTGTCCTTGTCCTTGACAGTCGTAGTAAAGTGCTTATCAGTTTGTGTGCAACGTGTATGTCGTAAGGTTGTAGTATATGATACGATAGGTTCATAGGTGGCTCTGATGTATGGTATAGTCACTGTTGTAACAGGGGCAGAGTTAACGAGTGTTGGAATTGGTGTTACTGTGGGTTTTCCATCTAACAAAGTCTGCGTTGTAGTTGTTTTTGCTTTAAAAAGGTGGTTTAGGTAGGCAGTCCCATTTTGTAGCCTGCTGTGTTAAGTCGCAAACTAGCTGAGCTCGCCTCATCAAAGTCCGTGTTGTTGTGACCTTGTAAATGTAAATCTGTCAAAATCTCAACTGAAATTTCATTTTAGCCATGGCTGTTATAAAAAGGCCAAATTTGTGCACATCAACTGACAGAGAATGACTGCTTGACAAAACAAGCTTCCCTTTTGACAAATAGTCAATTTTTGCAACTTAGAAAGATTAATCCTCATATATCATCACTGTTGCATATGGCTCAAACTATCTTTGCATGCAAATTGCAAGAAAAAAAGTCTATACTTTTAACTGTTGAAAGTTGATCTTCATCATCACCAAGTTCTGCAGTTTCAGTGAGGGGTTGCCGACATTTTAGGTTAGTTTCCCTGTGAACAAAACATAAAACCTTAACAATTATCAACAAACAAGAAATGATAATTTTATACATGTAGGTGAAGTTTAATGGCTGGTACATCAGATGTGAAAGTCAAATTAAGGTACTGATTATCTATGTCACTTTAAGTTAAAGTGAATAAAGTTTGTATGATTGACCTGAAAAGTTAATGATTATTTTCATAAATGGGGGTAATTAAGATCGAGGCTTCTAGTAGAAACAAAACTCTTTTGCATATGTGAACATGTGTACTCAAGAACATTGACTGTTCAGGGAGTGACAAAGTGCTGTCCAATAGCCTTCAGGCTAGCATGTTTTAATTCATTGTGAGTTACCCAACAGGCAAGCAACATTTGCATTTTTAAGGGAAAGAGTGGTTGGAAGGTGTGCACAACTTCTTTGGACTCGGGTATTACTAACATCAGGAATAGCTTGCTGGAACTCAAGGGCATGCAAACAATTTTTCATATTTTTAATCTGACCCTGCTGCTGCAAATTTATTTTTTTGTTGTGTGCTACATAATCAACTTTCAACAATTAATGGTTTCATATTAGTTAGATGTCTGTAAAAGGAGTTGATGGGAAAACAAAAAAAATAAAGGAGTTTGACTAGCTAGTAACTCATTGACGAAAATTTTCACCATCTGAACTTTGTTCTCCTAATAAAAAGGAAATTTTATAAGATTACAACTATATATATGACTCACCCATCCAATTCAGCTGTCTCGATGTAGCACAAACCATTTTCTTCACTGGTAGTAAGAACCACAATATCAGCCTGCAAAAGAGATAAAGGCTGATAAGACACCTAAAAATGGCCAAGACTTGAAATGCAAGCCAACATCTATGTATTGATTACTTACAGGAATTTGATCATTGTTATCTATTCTGAGAACATCACCAACTTGAAGCTTCATCCACGTTTCTTCTTCTTGTCTAACAGAGAGTTAAACATTTTTATTATTATTAAACCAATACACGTTCAAGATAGTTTATAAAATCATGATCAAGTCAAAAAGCACACATGTACGTAACACGACAGTTGAGGAAACCTCTCATTTATGTCAAACCATCTACACGTACTGGCCATCAGTGACCAGCATTCTCTTTTATCCAAAGTTCAAAAAATAAAAATTTTAAAATTTCTCAGTCAAATAAATATAGTAACTGGTGGAATCTGTGGTACGCAACCACTTCTATTATAAGCAACTGACAGCTGAAAGTGCACACAAAGCTGGTCCAAAACACAGGTAACAGGCCACAGGGACCACAAGTGCAGCATGTCTGAATGCTCTATTGTTTAATGAATGAGATAAGTAGTTTCACATTAAACTAAAACTCTATTTTGGATTGCCATTAGGCCAGGAGACACTTTACAGGGTGCATTAAGAAAATCATTTTTACAGCTTGCCATTCGGGCAAGCTAAAGCCAGCATTTACTAGCCCTGACGTCATTTCAACTAGCCCAAAAAACTTTTTGACTAGCAGAATTGATTTTACAGTTCTTCTGTTGATCGAATTCCTCAAAAAACATCACTTGCCCATTGGGCAAGTTAAAAACAGAATTCACTAGCCTGATAGCAAAATCCACTAGCCCCGGGCTATCGGACACTACTTCCTTTGCATGCTGCTTTAAGTGTTGTTTGTTTACCATGGCACTGTAACCATAATTCCTCTCACCTGCATTTTGTACCCTCCCCTGTGCTTTAACAGTGCCTGGTGTTTCATGGCACCTAACTTTAATTTGCTCCTGGGTAAACTGGAAAATTTTAGTTTTTTCATACAAATCATACTCTGGGCACCCGGGATTTCAAAGGTTCAGAGCAGTGGGTTCACTTCAACTTTTCTCAGAGCACGGCCTTGACATATCACTTTTTTTTCATGAAAGTTCCCCACATAACCTACTGTAATTTTGACTATTCATTCCTGACCAGGTAACTGCTGACTTTTCAGTTAATATTAAGAGTAAAATCGAGAAGAAAACCATAATATGTTAATAATGTAGATCAGATCCATACCACTTATAACTAGGATGTTTTGACCTCTCAAATATAAAACTAAACAACAGGCATATATCTCACTTTTCAGCTTGTCCTGTTACTTCACTGTTGTTTCTAAGAACCTTCGCCTTCCTATTGTTGACTGCATCATCACTTCTATGCCGTTTCTGCAAGTGGAAAGTAACTAGGTTTAGCAATACAACAATGGATTTACCTACAGCATTATTTCTTTCAACAGCCGAGTTTAAACTACAGATCACATTGTTCCACAGGTCAGGAGTACACTCAGGTCTGAGACACCTTTGGGAGACCAGTCCTGACTATCCGTCTTAGAGAGCTAGGTGTCTGGCTTGTATAATCTTATGGTAAATTTGAATAAAATGTTTGTTTGACTTACAAAATCATCTACAGCATCTTTGACTCCTGTTGCAGCCAGAACAATAATAAGTGGTACAGCTGTAGCTTCAGGGCTTAACGCAGTGATTTTAGGAATGGACTGTGATGAAAGACAACAAAAATGAACTTACTAAAGAACAAGTTGAGAAGGGATTACCTCCATATATATATTACATTGGCATATATAAGCAATAGACACACTGTTAGTATCTTTTGATCAAGGAATTATTAAATTTAATAGAAGAATCTTTTCAGAAGCTACAATGTCACTGGCAAACAAATTCTTGAGATACTTTCATAGGGTACATTTTGGAGAAAATAAAAAACACAATTTAGTCCCCTCACACCTTCCCCAAAACCAAAGTTGGCTTTACAGGCACCTGGAGCAGTGGAACAACATTGATTGGTGGGTGGTGGTGAAAGGGGGAGGGGGGGATTGGGAAGGCCTTTCGGGCATTTCACCGAGCTATCGAGTTATTGCTGTGGAATGTGATATGCAAATGAGTCACTCAGAATTTGTGTACTCATGTCAGCTCGCTCTGTCAAGTAGCCTGACATGAAAACAACATGTCGTTGTTGTTGTTGCATATACTTTGACCAAATTCACGCATGCATTGACCCATGCAACCTCGTGAGAGAACCCTGCAGGGTTTGTACCCTTTTTTGAACAAAAAATTCAAGGACTTTTCAAGGACTTTCAAGGACACATTTCCCATTTTTCATTTTTACTGCTGTGGTCTAGCGGGGACCACTGGCTCAAGGTGACTAAACTTTGTCTTGCATGACGAGAAAACCTAGACCTTTGGGCTTCCTGCAATTTTTATTAAAAACAACAACCATTTTTTCTTTCAAATAGTTTTTACATCCTTTATCTCAGGTTATGTAAATCTACTTACACTGTACTTATAACTTGGAAGAAATACTTGGTAGTTTTACCATATTCTCTTACCATGATAACGATTTGCATCAGAAAATATAAGTTGGCAATCCTCCGGAATTGTTCAAACAAGTTCATAGGTAAGAAGGTCAGCAAGGTGTACTTAGAGGTCCTGATATAATTGTTGACATAGTGGAAGGTGGAATTGTACTCATGATCATTGGTTCGAAGCTGCCTGTCTGTTTCTGAAAATTAATAAAATTAATATAATACTTAAATGTAAAATAGTAAATCACCAGGGTTCACAATTTACCAAAAAAAATTATTAATAAAAAAAGAGCTCCAGCAGCCAATTTCTTGAAAGGCCCTGTAACTAATCCCACCCAAATTAAATGAAATATTCAAATTAAAATCTAAAAAAAATGCCAGCTTGTTTTATTAACTGAAAAAAATAAAAAACTAACTTTATTAACTAAAAAAAAAGTACCAGCTTGTTTTATTAACAGAATATTTTATCATGTTATCTGGAAAACTATTGAGACGTCACTCTTAAATGTAAACAACAACAACTTTCAAGGACCATTAATAAATCATGACTTTGGAGAATGCAGGGCCCCTGGAGTTTTCCAGGCTGGAAAAAATTAGCACTGTATTGTTTTGAGGGAGGAAGGGGTGGGGGGAGTCAAAGGAGTTTTTCTAATTTTAACTGTAGTCCACTTCAGCCTGGATTATATGTTCTGTACTTGTGTATGTCACTTTTGATGTGGTCAGATCTGAGCTCAATGTCTGTGCTTAACATAAATCAGAGTATGAGAGGAACGTTTAGTGACAACATGCAACTACCCATAGGAAATGAGCAGATTTGTATTAATTTTAGTCTGCTGCAGATCTGGTGAAATATTGCTGTGTAAAACTGATAAGTTAACTCCGTCATGTTATGGAAATTTACCGGCAGAACTGCGATAAGAAATTATCAAAAAAATTATGAAAAGATTCATGAATTGAAAAGCTATGTTTTTCTTGAGAGTGAATAAAATAAAATGAAACTATAATAGTATAATAATGGTTTTTTCTTTAATAAAATTGGATGTAGCTGGTTAAATTTATCGACAAAGCAGCCGACACACTGGGCCGGATAGTCTTAATAATAAGTTGTTTCCAATTGATGAACATGTGTGCTAAAGACAGCTTGCAGACTCTGCAGACTCAACAGATCATGTGCAGATCTGTTTTTCATCTGTTTCTCATCTGCAGCATCAAACATCTTTCCAGATGATGAAGGCAGTACCTGCACAGACTGAAAACAGACTTTGCAGATGTAAAAATAATCTGCAGTTAGTCTGTTTTCGTAAAACAGATCTGTTACAGATCTGCTGAACATCTACTGATTTCGTACAGGTACACATATCACAACTTAGACCTTATATCCAATAAATTCTGATCCAAAAGTAGACGTGTCACCAGGACCTCTTCTTGAAGAAGTACCCTGTGGATTGTTTGATTCTTATAAGTGACCACTGCCCATAAGAGACCACTAAATCTTTGCATTTTGGGTGGTTGTTTACTGCTGGACACTGGACCATATTATTGATATACAGGTCTAACTTGTTCTTTACTGCGCTTTTCTCAAACATGCAAACTCTGAAGTTCAAAAGCCGCCTTCACAATTGGATTTTTCGCTGCTGTCAATCATAATTATTACAACCACAAGCAACGAACATTGAAACACAGAAACACACAAAATGGATCGAAATCCACCGATCACAAATCACGAACCATGACCTTTTGAACCCGTTAAAGTAAAGTTTTGTTTCCTAAGAGGTCAGTTAAGATGATTGACGGCAGCGAAAAACGCAATCGTCAGTTGGCTTTTGAACTTCCGAATTCACATGTTTGTGAAAAGCGGCAAATTATTTTCCTAAAGTTGATTTTTAAGTCCACCAATCGATTTCCACTCAGGTTGGGTAATTTTTACTTTTTACATGCACATGCACACCTGATATAATAACAAGCCTGATAACAAAATGAACTAGCAACAAAAACTATTCTGCATAAATATAGCAAGAATATGTGCGTCTTGTTCAGTACATTTTGTGACTCACAAATATTGGGGAGAACAATATTAAACATTATTAATGGGTGAGGCTGGGATGTACCATATGAACAATTATGCAGATTGAAGGTGTTATCTGCTGAAGCCAAATGCTGAGGCAGATGAAACACTCTTTTAAAACTGAAGTGGTGTTTTAAAGTGAAACTTCATTAGAATGAACACCAAATTAACAATACAATGAATCCTTGTATGTACTTTTCTTTGCTCCAGTTGAAGTAAAATTGTAAAAATGTAAGGAACAGGATTCCAATATAACTCACCCCATTATAACGCACTTATTTTCCTAGTCTCTGGACGTTTTGTGACATAAGCTTATATTATCACTATCGTTGCTACTAATAATGGAAGAGCTTAATTATTGAAGCAAAAAAGCGACGCAAGGTTAAATGAATGAAAAACAAAGCATTAATATTAAATTTTTCCAAAGGGGAAAGGTCAAATACGAAAGTACGACACTACTAACGCTGTATGTACGTTTACAAGGCATACTTTTCGCACAAGTTCTTTATTTTGGGCTGTTAAGTAAGGTTGATGCTCGTTATAAGCTTACTTATCCTATCGTCGACACCGCTGTTTCGAGGCTGGTATCTCTGGGTAACAGGAGTAAAATAAAATCACTTTTAATACAAAACTAATACATTTTTCATTTCAAATAAATCACGATATTAATATATGGAATAGAAAATAGCGTGCTTGAAAATGAATTTATAATTTACCCCCGATCAATGAGACTGTGTCAACGTGGGCAAATGAAAATATCGACTGGTTGTTAACAGTAGAACAGTTGTTAAGGAAACTCGGGCCAGCTGCTTGTAAAACAAGTGCTTTCTTTCCACGATCATTAACTGTCTAAGACTACACAATAGTATTCTTACAATACCTTCTTCTTGATCCTTTCCTCTGCACAGATGCATTTTGAGGCGCTAAACGGGGATAACTATAAGATAAACAGTTCTGTCCGCTGGTAGTGCACTGATCATTGACTCACAAATTGAAGGACGCCGCACCAGATCGACAAAGTTTCCGCATTTATCACTGCGGGTTTGTCTTCTGGTTCACCACAAGCTTATGTCTAATTCAGGTTAAAGATGCAAAGTCAAAAATCTTACTAAAATGGTAATCCTGCAAATTCCGCTCTTCACTACCCGCTTTGAAAGCGATAATTTCGGATAAATCAATCAAACACTGGAAAAACACAATATCATAGCATTTGTTTGCAGTTTCCCGCATTTCAAGATAACCGAGGGTTGGAGGACTGAGTTCCAGTCACGGCCCTAAGGCCGGAAAACTATTAGCCTGTATGAAATCATCACGAGATGCTGATCGTATCTTACGTTAAACAGATTTTTGTGTTACTGTGTTTTTGTGTTACACGTACAAAATAATGGAAGCACATTTCGAATTGAACTGTGCTCATTAAAGGATAAATATGCAAAAACGCGCACAAAGAAGACTTCAACTGATTTTTAAAATAAGCTTAATTCTTTCTTTGTTACTTGGCGACATATACTAGAAGAGAATATAGCAAAGAAGACTTCAACTGATTTTTAAAATAAGCTTAATTCTTTCTTTGTTACTTGGCGACATATACTAGAAGAGAATACAGCTCCTATTACTTTTCTTTTACATTATTTCTTTGCCTCGATCAGCTCGATTGCATCTTTACTTGCGTCTTCAGGAACTTTTACATTGAAACGAGCATTTCTGTCATTTATAAGTCATGATCTGAAGTCAAAGGCATAACTACATTTTCCATGTTTTTCCAGGTCCCCCCTTCATAGAATTGTCAATTCTCCTTATCCCGTTCATAATTCCCCTCCCAAGTCTCGCTACCCCTTTCTCCTAAATCCCAAATCTCTCTTCATTTTTCTTTGGAAGTTTGAACCTTGGGGTTATGTGCATTACGGAAAGAGCACAGACTATTTCTGCACGCCTCACGCCCCGTTCGCGTTAATTGATCAAAGAAAAACAAAACAAAACAAAACTTTTAAACTATACTCAATGACTGAAAGGAACATACTTGCAACGCGCTTAAAAAGAAATTGTTTATTTTCTTCCGCTTATTTTACCTCCAGTTTTTTGCAGAAGATACATAGCGAGTTTAAATTTGCCCTTCTAGTACTTAGAAGAGATATCAAGCTGCAGAGAATGTTCAACATGGAAACTTGTAACATGTGATCCATTCAATTCGTTCCAGTTTTCCACCACTTCCATGCCCGCGGTGGTCAAATATTCCCACCCTTTAGGACGATTACAAATTGTCAAATTCACAACTCGGGCACAGTAAAAATTAAGGTCCTGCCAGTGATGACACCAGTCAAGATCTCAAATAACCACGCGTTTTGTCCAAATTCTAATAATTTCCATCGCCTAGAACGTATACAAGCAGTGTACAAAGTGGACATATCCTGCCAAGGAACTCTTGATCTTTTTAATGGCACCAAAAAATACAGACGATTTGACGCTTTCTTGATTACGTCACTAATCTCCAGATGTTCGTTCCACGTAAGGTTGCTCGATATGATCAGACCTAGTAATTTAGCACTAGTCACACTCTCTAGTTCATAACCATTTACTACAATAGGCGCAAACTGGGGCTTATCCTTTACAAAAGATATCCTAAGCTCCTTACACTTATCGCAATTAAGTTTGACTCTATTCTGCGTAGACCACTGCGCAAACTTATCCGCCATTTCCTGGGCACAACTTCGGTTGCCCTTGGCAACGACTTCTGATGCGGTGGTATCGTCCACGTACTTCCATACATTAGCTAAATCATCAACATCTAAATCATTTATAAGCACAAAAAATAGCCATGGGCCTAGTATTGTTCCCTGAGTGATCCCCGAGGATACTGACTTCCACTCCGAGTAACAGCTCTCAGAAAGTTTGATTCTTTGGGAACGATTAGAAAGGAAATCTAAGATTTAATTGATAATTCTTGTGGGCAGATTCAACCTGCACAACATCTCTTCGAGTATTCTATGATATAACGCACCATGATTGGTAAAAATAATAATAAAAAAAATAAAGAAAAGAAAAGAAAAAAAGGAAGAAAGAAAAGAGATAAAAAACAAAGAAGAAGAAAGAGAAGAAAAGCAATGAAAAGCATATTATCCTACCCTGGGTGGTTTCCAGTTTCGGTCATAATTACCCACCCAACCGCTCGTAGCTTCGGCCTGCAGCTACCAAGTCCCATTATGGCTCTTGCAGCTACTGAAGCGTACTAGCCTGAATGGCAGGAGCAAAAAGGGGAGGGTAAGGAGAGGGAGAAAAGCGCCCTGCTACGCAGGCTAGAAGGACTAGAAGCGCACGGCCTCCGCATCCGAGAAAACATCCCGTCGCACCCAGGATTAATACGCGGTGCCCCGAAAATTTCCTGAATCGGGGCTCCACTGAACTCAAGTTACCAAGAGACTGGTAAATACGGTATTTAGTACGTTTGGTCCATCTCAATTCCAGAATCTGGTTCCTTTGATAAATTCATCCAAATTATCAGTTAACACAACAAAGACTAGTGCTGCATACTGTGTATCAAAGTCTCATTGGCATTTTTACTTCTAATATTTTATACCTTCATTGACTGACACTTTGGCAGTTCTGGATTTCATCGACATCTTTCCTTTCTTTCGGCACTGGTGCTAAAATAGGCATCGATTAGCCCTGGATAGAGCGTTTAGAATCCCAAAACATCTCATTTCGTGTCTGCCCAGAATTAGCTCGGCATCGCAGTCAAGCAAATCTAATCGTCATCTTGTATTCAGCTGAAACAAAAAAGAGCAATTAATTACCTGGTCAGGTAACAATACATATTTTTTTTACGTCAAGTCTATGTATTTGTACGGAATTAAATATTAACATAAACTACCCCTTTGACTGACGTGCTTAATCCCACTACAAATGGTAAATGTCATAAATTGTGTTCCCTCGTTTGTTTTTGTCCCCTGTGAATTTGCTACATGAAAATGTCTCTTGAGTTCTTGTTATACTCATTTGGCATGCAGATGTTTTTCAACTAAAAACGTCAAGAACTCACATATCATGACCACAAGTGCTGATCAAGCACGGACTTAAGACAGTCGAAACACTTCTGACACGGCACGTACAGGGAAAGTTACAATCGCAGCTGATTGCATATTCTAACGCTGCTCAGTGAAATTTTCCAGCAACCGGCAGTGAATTAGTACTGTGCTTGTGATGCAAAAGCTTTTGAAAGAAATTTCTGAGAATAAAATATTCTTTATCAAGTTAACGAAATAATCTGTACTATCTGAGTGAAGCTTTTACGCGCTAGCAACTAAAGGTGAACCAGACTGCTTGATAACTTTATGGATAGTTTTTAGTTGCTGCTGTATCCGTTTAAAAGCCACAATTTACTGCCTTTGGGAAAAAAACGTCGCATTCATGTTTCTGTTGTCTGGGTTTTCTGCCTGGAACTTACCTTAGAATGGGTGTTTTACTTTAGCTCTGGGTCAGTCTCAAGGTCTTTCCTCGTCACGTACCAAACGTTTGGGATCATGATCAGAGCACAATTGTATTCTTCGCACGCTCGTTAATAAATAAACCAGTTAAGTTAAAATTAAAGCGATTTAATACTTTTTTTATAGCAGATTCATTTTATAAACATCAACCATTAATTGTAAGGAATCATCCGATTCGTCTTCTAAAGAAACTCAACTGAGAGCGCCATAATTGTCGATGAAATAAAAGAAAACCTTATGAGCCTTGAGGTAATACCCGGGGGTAATACAACCTCTAATCTCTGGGTCTCTTGACCTGCGATCAGACGGTCCTTTTTTCTTTATCGTAGGTTATAAAGGTTCTCTATTCTTCTAGCCTGCAAGCAAGCTCTTCGGGGGTACAGGCCCTCGCCCGGCAGGGCGCACTGGAGACTTTTGTCTTTCCATCTCTTGGAAGAGGCGAGACCCCCCGGGAACAAGGTTGAAGTAATACGGGCACAGGAGCTCTAATCCTGACGGAAAACATCTATCTTTTCAATTTTTCGAGCAACCATATATTGTTGCATTGCGAGTTGAAAAACACTGTTGCCCGTAGGAAAAAAGTTGACGCTTGCCTTGGCATACCCTGGATGCGAGAGACTTTTATAGCGCGCTTTGCGGTTTTTGTCAAGTTTAAATAGTGCCCCGCGTGAGTTTTTCACCGCTCGTGGCTCGGTCGCCGCACGCGAGAAAAACCCCTGTACCTGGTACACTGTCAGAAGTGTCACAAGTTAGGGAAATTACCGAGTTGCCCATAACTTTGAGCGACAAAGTCGAGAAAACAAACGTGAGCCCAATCAAAGTGGACTTGAAGAAGGTCAAGAGACCAGACCAGACAACTACTAAAACAAATTTTCAATCTACCGCTTGAGAAAAACAAGAGGGGGAGAAAGGCCATTCCAGACATCAAATTCCATCAGACACCGTCCTGAATTGTCACTTACCCAGCAACACTTTCCTTCCAAGGACATATCATTACAATGATCTCCCAGCCAGCAAAAAATTGCCAGACGAACAGATATTTTGTGGAACAGATCCATTGGGTGCCCCTGTGCTCGATAGCTTTTGAAATTCAGACTAGGGGCATACCGGTACTCCCTTTAATGAAAAGGGCCTCAGATTAGTGCAATCGTTATAAGCGTTTGAACAACTGGGGCTCCGCGTTGCTCATATACAGTGGAACCCCTATTTAACGAACCCGATCTATCTATATAAGGATGACTCGGTATAACAAACGATTTTCCTTAGCCCGGCCAAACTTACAATAAAATGTATGGAACATAACCTCACCATAACGAACCTCGATTTAACGAAACTCGTTCTAACGAACACAATCCAGAAACGCAAACGTAAAATATACCTCGATATAACGAATAAATGTGAACATGTGACCGAAAGATAGCAGTAAAGATCAATGCGAAACGTAACAGACCAACGAGGATAAAATTTATTTGTACAGTAGTTTTAAGCAGCTTTGATTACCTTTTCTTGTGTTGCTAGTGCCGTATAGTAGCTATGGACTGTTCTGAACTGAGACAATAGCTTCGTACACAAATGTTTATCAGATCCTGAAATTATGGGTGTTGGAAATTAATCAAACAGTTTGCTTGTTTTCCCAACATTTCGTTAAATATCAATCGATTTTTTCGATATAACGAACCCTCGATCGCACTCGATATAACGAA